ACAGCTGCGCCCGGCCGCCGGGGAGGGGGCGCGCCGCGGCTTTTTTTAATCGTGTGACCATTTATTTTGAGAGTTTCCAAATAAAGCAGGGCTTTTAATAAAAAAGAGGGGAGGGGGAATATTAGCTCCTTGCCAGGGAAAGGGTTGTATTCTTGCGTTGTGATTAGGGGGTGGTCTATAAAATGCTGTTGTTGTTGGCGTTTATTCTTGTACGTTTCTTGAAGATGATTCAGGTGTTACTTGTCTTGCCTTAGTGCTTGCTCCTAAGGATGGACAGTATACCGTAAAACTGAATGCTGGTCAGTACTGGTGGGGAAGCACCCTCACGGAATACAGTAGTTGGAAAGTTTCCAGTAACCTTTGGACCCCCAAAGAGAGCTGTATGCGAATGCAATACAGACTAGAGCTGTAAGGAAGGTGACCAGTTGTTTGGCTTCAAGTACCAGCGCCAGCACTCACTAGCTGGGGATCTTGTGCAAATCCCTTAGCCTCTCTGTAGCTGTTTCTTATACTGTGGAGAATAATAACAACCACCCAATCCACTAGGGTAAAATACTCGAACGGTTTCATTTAATTCTAAACCCCGCCAGTAATGCTTCACATGAGGCTGTTTTTGGTGGGATTTTTTTTTTTAACCTCATTATTGCAACACATAAGACAAGGAAGAAAACTGCATGACTCTACCACCATTACAAAAGAGTATTTGATCTTTACTTGGCAGGTGGTTTGAGCAGTTGGAGCAAAGAGACTTTTAATTTATGTAAACTTTAATTTCAATGATTTTATTTTGATACTGTTGTTTCTGGAAAGCTTTTCAATGTTTCACATAAATCTCACTTTCTCCAACATCATCAAGCGCTGAGTGCGTATTACTATGCTTGAGACACGGTCCTCGTGCACAAAGGATTTCTGGTGTGGGTGGAAAACACACTACATAGAGCAGGGTGTGAGTTGGAGCCATTGTCATGGATGCCAGCGTACTATTGAAGAAAAGGCCCAACAGGATTCAGCTTGGATCCTGCGGCCAGATGCAAAACTACCTGTATTTCTAATGGGAAAATAGTTCAATTTTTTAAATAGAATTGATACTTCCACTGGACTCCACAAGCAGATCGATTTGTATGTAAGGACAGAAAAAAGACCTGAAAGTCACGTTTCTGGA